GTCGGCGGTTCCAACTCACCAGCCCTTCTTTGGAAAACCTACCCAGGGTCACTATGAGTAGGAACGGACTTGACAGCGCTTAACAGCATCATTAGTTTGTCTGATGATCTCCCTGAAAACCACTTCAATTTTTGTTAGAATTTTATTGCACATGTTTGTTCATATGGGAAAGGTTACACAGAGCTTTCGAAGTTACGTCTTGACGACCTTCTCTGAGATGCGTATAGATTTCTCTCTACAGATGTGCTGTTCATATGACTTTGTCATAAGACCCTCCTTGGCTCTGTCAGGAATGTGAACACGGAATTTCTTCCCCCAACTCTATTTCTAACTAGTTATGTGGTTGTTGTTGTTAGGTGCCATCGAGTCGGTACCGACTCATAGCGACCCTATGCACAACAGAACGGAACACTGCCTGGTCCTGGGCCAACCTCACAATTGTTGCCACGCTTGAAGAATGGTATTGGGTTTTAGGTGCTTTCGGTGGTTTTGTTTGTTTATTTCTGTTGTTGGCTGTTTTATGTTGTTGTTGTTGTTGTTGGTTTGGTTGTTTTGTGTTTTTTTGTATGTTTAACTTGAAATCAGGCCGCCTTCCTACACTGTCTTACTGAGAATTTCTAGTTGTACTGTCATATCCAAAAATTTTGACAAATCTTTTTTCGACAGCGTTATAGTGTTTATTTCATTTTCTTGTCTTAGTTCAAAAGCTGGTGCCTCTAACGGTGTAATGCTAACACTGAAAGGGGCATGTCGATCTTGTTCATGATTTCAGTGGACACGTTTTTAGGGTCCAACTCATCTAATGTGGTGTTTGCAGATGGTGTCTGGTTACTACTCTCTCGTGTTTGGGATATTTTCTTTCCATGCAGTTTATTCATTTTATTTTATACCATTTTTAATATTTTATCTCATTGTTGTTGGGAAGATGCACATCTAAACATGCACCAGTTCAGCTGTTTCTCATGTCACATTCCATGACACTGAAGGTTCACACTGCTTTGCTGAGTAATTCCTGCCCGCTTCACATCAACTCACTGCCCCTAGGCGCCTGTCTCATGTTTCAAGTTGTTTTCATCAATTTGACCCTATGTGTTGTTGTAAAGTACTGCCGACTTGATTGCAACTCATAACGACCGTGTATAGGGTTTCCAGGGAGCAGCTGGTAGATTTGAACTGCCAACCCTGTGATTAGCGGCCCAGTGCTTATCCTACAGCACCATACCAGGACTCCACTGACCCCATATAGATAAATCTTAAAGAGCACAAAGCCCACAACAGATGTTGCAAACCATTTTTAACAGGAATGGTTTCTGAATTGTCAAATGCTTTGGTTAATGGAATAAAAAGATTGGCCAATTCTTATATCATTCTTATACTTGGAATAAATGTGAAGTGATCTTGATGTGCCATTTTAAAATATGTTCCTAATATTTCATTTAGGATTTTTATATTCATGCCCGTATATTAGATTGGCTTGTATTTTCTTGCCATGTGTTCTCTTTGTCATCTCTTGGTCTGGCCTGGTGTAGCTGTAAGAAAAACGCCCTAAGGGGGTGGCTTTGAAGACAGTTATTTTCTCACAGTTCTGGAGGCTAAAGGTCCAAACCAGGGTCTCAGCCATGCCATTGTTTCTAGAAACTGCTCTCCTGGTTTCTGGTGACTGCTGGCCATCCTGGGACATACAAACAACAGAGACACAGACCTGCATCAGCCGCCACTGTCTCTCTACGCCCTGTCTGCGTGTCAGTTCTAGTAATAACTCCAAGAGATTAGATTTAGGACCCACCCATCCTGCTGCTCATTAACTTAACAAAAGAAAAACTCTTCTTACATGGGTGCTCATTCACAGGTACAGGGGTCGGGACAGGAACACAGTTGGGGGTGGGAGGAGTAGGAGGTTAGGAGACCCACAATTCAATCCACATGGTATGATAAGTGTAGTATTCCTGGTATGTAACACCAACAACAGCTGTGTAGTAACTCTATTCGCAGTGAATTGAGATACTGTATATGTCCACATTCTAAAATAATCTGATGAATCTAGGAGACATATCTTCCTGGAAGGTTGGATATAGCATGCCTTTCAAACCGTCTCAGTTTGACACCTTTTCTGGCAATAAATGGCAGATCTTGCAACAGCTCTCTCAGTTCCTTCTGAGATTCCCTGTCTATTCAGGTTTTCTAATTCTTCCATTAAATGTAGTAATCTCTATTTTGCTACTTTCCTCTAAGGCTTAAAATAGATGAACCTAAGGTTGTGAATAATGCTTTGTTGGAATTCTTCCATAGCTGTTGTCAGAAGAATGGCCGCTTCTTCTATGGTGTGATCCTCTCAAAGAGCACCCTCAGAGTCCCCTCACATGAGCCATTGTTGTTCCAAGTGGAGAAATGAGGAAACTGAGGCAGAAGAGGAAGGGGCAGTTGAGACAGAGCACTCCTGAGCTGGCCTCAGCCCACCCTCTTCCTTCCGCTGGTACACCTGGGCCAGCCTCCTCTCAGCCCCCAGGTACCAGGAGTGTCATGGCGGGCTCACCGCCAGAAGAGTCTTCTCCAAACCCCGGGTCCCGGCACCCCAGGACTCTTGGGGTACTGTTGTGCTCCTCACTGTGGGAAGGGCATCCACGCACTGAACGAGTTGCTCCAAGAGCCCTGAAAAGCTCCCTGGGTGCAGGGGATTTAAAGTGGAGACTGAGCTGTGTGTTCAGGTGTTTGAGGGGCATGCATCCTGTGTGTGACCTCATTTTATAAAGTCCCATTATGCTCTGCTTTCTGCCCTGAACGTTAGTAGTGTATCACATACACACACGCACCAAGGAGCTTCAAAAAGCTCCTAGAAAAATGGAATTGGAAGAGGATGGAATTTTTCCATGAAGTTTTCAAAGCTCCCACATATACGTGTGTGTGTGCGATCTGTCAGAATCAACCCAATGGCGTTGGGTTTAAAAGTGCGTATGTTAATATAGCTGCTGACAGTATAAGTCCAAGTAGGACTGCCCCATGGGCTTCCCTAGACTAAAATCTTCACTGGAACACACTGCTCGGTGTTTTCTCCCATGAGCCCCTGGGTGAGTTTAAACCGCCGCCTTCAGCCAGTAGTCTTGGTTTCTCTAGTGTTGCCATAACAGAAATACCACAGTGGGTGCCTTTAAGAAGCAGAAATTGATTCTCTCCCACTTCAGGAGGCTAGAAGTCTGAATTCAGGCACCAGTTCTAGGGGTAGGCTTTCTGGCGTCTCTCGGGAAAGGTCCTGGTCTCTTTTCAACATCTGTGGGTTCCACGGTCCTTGGAGATCCCACGTGTCTTAACATCACTTTTGCCCTGGGTCTAGCAGATTCTCAGCACAGGGACCCCACGCTCTGCTTCTTGCTCTCTGAATTGTGGACTCCCTGTAGGTCTGGAAGGATTTGACTGTGGTGGCGCGGTAGGTAAAAGCGCTCAGCTGCTAATTGAAGGATCATCGTCTCCAACCCACCATCTGCTCCGAGGGAGAAAGATGCGACAGTTTACTTCTATAAAGACTAACGGCCTCGGAAACCCTCTAAGGCAGGCCTCCTCTGTCCTACAGGGCCTCTACAGGTCAGGGTCCACTTGACTGCCGTGGGGTTGGCTAGATTTGTGGGTCTTGCAGAGTTTCCGATTGTAGGATGATTTTAACTAACTTTGGGCTTCAGCACAGTGCAATAACTGTTGTTGCTGATGTTGTGTGCGGTCGAGTCAGTCCTGACCCATAGTGCCCCATGCAATAGAGTAAAATGATCCATAGGATTTCCTAGGAAGCCATCTGTACCGGAAACAGATGGCCAGGTTTTTCTGCAGTGGAGCCACTGGCTGGATTCGAACCACCAACCTTTCAGTTTGCAGTCGAGCACTTCTTTGTTGTGCCACCAGGATTCCTTGTGTGACAACTAACTGTCCTCACATTCCAGTAGCTGTGAGTGGGTTAGCTAACAGAATGTTCTGAAAGGCAAGAGCCATACACATATCCCTGTGGACTCCCCCCCCACAGTGAGTGGAGCAGGCAGACACCCACTGAGGCTTCGCTCCCCGGACCACAGACAGCCCAAGAGAGTGCCCGCATGAGGGAGCCCAGCCTACCTGGGCACTGCCGTCACCCGGGCTGGTGGGAGGGGAGTGGCCTGCTTGTATCTCTCGAATGCCAGGCGTACCCAGTCCTTCACAGAAACCCGTTTCCCATCAGCATGCGTGTGGCCTTGATCTTCCTGCTCGTTTCCCTTCGGCTGCTGCCCCTTGGTTTGCCCATTAGCAACAGTCCCAGAGCTAAGTGTGCCTTCATATTTCCTTTGACGGCTATTATTTTGGTCATACTTTCTTGTGTTTTCAGTAATGGTTTACATAGAGGTTAGGTTCCCTCTCAACAGTTTGTATACAAGTTGTTCAGTAATGTTGGTTACATTCTTCACAATGTGGAAACGTTCTTATGTGTGTTCTTCTGTTTGCTTCATTAACATTCATCGAATTTCCCTATCACCCTGCTACCCCCTTTACAGTCTTATCTTTGTTTTAAAGTCACTGTGGACCATTTGCTTCCCAGAGATGATGTTTTCAAACGAGTACGTTAGCAACAAGTGATAATATGTTTGTTTTGTTTTGTTCTGTTTCATTTTTGAGCCACTTTATTATTTAGCTACAGAGTGACCTCAGGGCTAGTTTGGGTTCCAGGTACAGAGAGTATCTCAGGGCAGTAGTCTCAAGGAGCCCTCCAGTCTCAACTATGCAGGTGTGATTATTATTTAAGGAATTTGGTGTTCTGTTCCACATTTAGCTCCCATTCGATCAGGGTCCATCTATTGTGGCCCTGGTCCAAACTGTCATCAGTGGTAGCAGGGCACCATCTAAGTTCTTCTGGTCTCAGGTTCCTGCAGGCTGTTCATCCTATAGACTGGTTTCTTCTCAGAGCCTTTGGTGTGCTTTGTTCTCTTCTTTGTGCGCTGGTCTTTTTCTTTATTAATCGGACCACTTCTCCATTCTGTTTTATCCAGACTGCTGCTGAGTGGGCTGAGAAGATGCCCAAAGCCCCCCTGCCACCCAAGTCCCCACCTCCCAAGGACAAGAAGGACATCCTGGCCCGTCTCCACAAAGCAGTGACCACCCACTACAATGCCATCGCCCAGGAGTTTGAGAACTTTGACACCATGAAGAACAACACAGTCTCCAGGGAGGAGTTCAGGGCCATTTGTAATCGCCACGTGCAGATTCTGACGAACGAACAGGTAAGGCACGCCTTGGGCTGGCCCTGAGCTGGATGGCGTGCGCCTCCAACACTCGGCATCTCCCAGGGTTTAAGACTGGGCTCTCTCTTTTAAATGCTTGACGGTTTGGGTTTGGTTTTAATCATTCCAAAGACCCTGCAAGCCTTCTGTATGTGCTGTTGCTGTCTGTGGTGGTGTTTCTGGATACCATTGAGTTGGTTTCGACTCACAGCAGCCCCAGTGACAGAGAAGAATGGCTCCTAAGCGTTCCCTAGGCCGTGTGATCTCTACATGAGCAGAACCCCAGGTCTTTCCCATGTAGCCCGCTGGGTGGCTGCAAACCACCGACCTATCTGTCAGTCAGCAACTGAACATTGCTTTCTGCTTGTGTTGTTGGTGTTAAGTGCTTTCGAGACAATTCTGACTCAGCGAGTTTGTGTAGAGTTTCCAAGGAGCGGCTCGTGAGTTTGAACTGCCAACTTTATGGTTCAAACTGACCTTGTGGTCTAGAGCATTAGCCCTCAGAGCCACACCTGGACTCCTTCTGTTTATGTTGTTGTTGTTGTTAAGTTTTGTCGAGTTAGTTCCGACCCATAGTCATCGACTTTGCAGTTCAAATCGACTTTGCAGACCAGCGCATTAACCTACCACACTATACTAGCATTCCTCTGTTTATGTGATGGTGGTGATGGTGGTTATGTGCCGTGGAGTCGGTTCCGACTCATAGTGACCCTGTACAGGGTTTCCGAGGCTGTAAATGTTTACGGGAGCAGAAAGCCTTGTCTTTCTCCCGCGTAACAGCTGGTAGTTTTGAACTGACCTTGTGCTTCGCAGCCCGATTCATAACCACTACACTACCAGAGCTCTGTTTATGTAGCAGGTGTGAATTGATCCATTTCAATCTGGCACAAATATTGTCACCTTTATTACTTAATTAAACCCAGCCCCAGGTCACTCCCTGGCAGATACAATCCACAGAGTAGTTGGTTTTTGAAGTCTCTCTCTGCCGCCTCCCCTGCTTCTGGCTGCTCCGAGGGAACTACTGCTGTATGCATGCTCGAGACCCGCCCACCCCTGGCAGACCTCTCACAGGCTGAACCCCGAGCCTGGACTGACTGGGGTTCTCATCCCAGGCCTCAGCAGAGGAGCTGGGCTGATTTCCCTCCAGGGTGAGCCAGACTCCGTCTTAGCCCAAAGCTGCTGCCGTGGGAGGGGGCCTAGGGACGAGGGGCGTGAGCTGCATGGTGACCTGATTGCGGTGTTCTCGCGGGACCCCTAGCCGATGAGAGCACCCGTGGCTGGCACTCAGTGCCCCGTTGTACGGTGTGCGTGGCCCCTCCACGTCATCCACCCAGTGGTGGGTCCGAGGTCCCAGTGATACCAGACTACCAGTAGGCAGTTAGGGAATCGTCCTTCCGAACGATTCCAGTAATAGCCGAGCTCCACAGTCCTGACGAGCTGCCCCATGCTCCCGGCTTCCTCCCAGCCCAGACCTGCCAGGTGGTGGCTACAACCTCGTGTCTTAGTTTTTCCTGAGTTCCAGAGCAAGGACTAGCAGCAGTCACAGGAACAGGGGATTAGCACCTCCTTTTCCTCCACCTTTCCCCAGACCCCCTAAACTTGCTGCCCAAAGTATGGATTCACTAAAGGCATTGATGATGAAAACAGCACGTCTAACGTGCCTAAAATGTCACTACTGTTGTTACGTTCCGATTTATAGTGACCCTGTATAGGGTTCCCAAGGAGCAACTGGTAGGTTTGAACTGCCAACCTTGTGGTTAGCAGTCCAGTGCTTATCTTATAGTGCCATACCTGGACTCCTAAACTATCACTGTAGTGGGCAGTGTTGTATTGTGATTCATGGGTTTTCATTGACTAGCCTGGTGGCTCAATGGTCAAGCACCCGGTTACAATCCACAAGGTTGGTGGTTTGAACCCACTCCGTGGCTCCACAGGAGACAGACGTGCAGTCTGCCCCCTAACGATGACAGCCTAGAAGTCATCATGAGGCAATTGTGCTCTGTCACGTGGGTCACTGGGAGCCAGTATCCACTGGCCAGCACCCAACATCAACAACCATTTCCAGAAGCCAATTGCTAGGGTTCTCTTCCTAGTCTGTCACTGAAACCTGTCCCCCACTGGGGACCCTGCCGGGATTTGAACCATGGCATTGTGGTGCAAATCTTTTCTTCTAAGCAAAGTAAAATGATATTTCCCTAAATGCTCCTGCCCTAAATGCAAGCCTTGCTATCGCAAAGTAGAAACGAATGTAAGCCTTTAAAATTAATACAGTGGCATTATTATTCTATGGGGCCAGCTCATAAAGACTTTACCCATAAAGGTTTTGCCAATAAAGGTTTTTCATTTAATCTCAAAGAGTAAAATCTCTCTCTAATTATAGACAAAGATTGATGACATGCCGACATGTCTGGCATTCGAACAAAGAATTGGATTTTAATCGTCCGCTAAGAAAACTTCACCACCACCACCCCCAGTCCGCCAGCACATCAACACCAACTCCACCTCCCACCCCCACCCAAATGCAGCTTATTTATAAATGCTGCGTTCTAAAAATACGCGCTGCGTCTCGTACCGCCCGCACATGTGGACAGCTTCAGACTGGGGCCTGAGAGCAGCCTGGCTTCAGCTGGGGACGAGGGGCAGAAAGGGTGCCGTGTCTGGGGAGGAGGCTCCTGTAGGCAGGGCTGGGACACGTGCCTCACAGAGCCTTCTGCTTTCTCCTCACGAGTTACTTGGCCAAGGACCTTGGCTTAATGACACAGTGCCGGTTAAAGTGCGAAACAGCATGTCTAGACACCCATCATACCGTTATTTGAAAGAGCTCACTGAAGACGTTAGGGAAGTTGTTAGTTGTTGCCAACACACAGCCTGGTCCTACACCATCCTCGTGGTGGTTGGTCTTCTCGAATCCACGGTTGCACACAGGAAGACTTGGCATCTGACTGTCCATACTTCTAAACAATTTGCATGTTTTCCTCTGACAGACACCGCCAGGGAGAGAGAAACATGCTGGCAGAGAACAAAACTGAAAGATCCCTCTGGCGGACAGACAGACTTGGGTCTCCACCCTGCTTCTGCCTTGTCCAGCTGTGTAACCTTGGACAAGTTACTTACCCTCTCTGAGCTTCCATGTCCTCCAATAGGAAATGGAGCTGCAAGGACTAGAGTTGGCTCTTCCCTGTCATCGCTCTGTGATGCCTGCTTTCCTTCTGGACTTAGTCCAGCTCATTGTCCTTTCTGACCACACCTTGACCTGGTGGAGCCTGCCTCTGCCTGCTTCAGGGTCCTCAGGGTTCCTCCTCGTCCAGCTGAGCCCCTGGAACAGCCTTGCTTGTACTAAGACAGGTAGCCATCTGTCTTCACAAGGCAGAGCGTGAGCGTCCACTCATTTCTTCATGTGTTGGGGACCACTGTACACAAGGTAGAGCCATGGACTCTGGCTTCACTGAGCTTGCCTCAGCAGAGGGCATAAAGACCTTAAATGCTAATTGTTCAGCACAATATGACTACAGTGTTGCTCTCTATACACTGGTAACAGTGTTCCCTGAAAACAAGATGGTGGAGTCCTGGAGAAGAGACAGGAGAGACTGATAGAGGCAGAGAGGGCAGCCAGGAAGCAGGGGGAGCAAGTGTACTGTGTCAGCGTTTGTGTGAAACAGAAACCCTCCCTCATAGACTCTACGTTCCTATGGGGGTGGTATTGTGGCTGTTTCTGGTAAGTACTACTGAGTGTGCTCTGACTCATCGCGACCCTGAGGTTACCAGTCTGGTGCTTATCCTATAGTGCCACACCAGAGTCCCCTTATGGAAGAGGTCAGACAATAAATAAAATAAGTAGAAATGTGATTAAGACACCACAATGCAATAAGCAGACAGATTTGCCTTAGAATATGATGGTAGACTTCCCAATTTTGTAAATTCTGTCCGTTTTCATTTTATACATAATCAGGGTTGGTTGTTTTATTTTTATTATTTCACTTCACATAGATACTGAGCTCATATCCTCCTAGTGAACTGAACTTACCAGCTGGAAAACAGTTTGTGGCTTAAAGTTTCCTTTATCTGATATTAGTATAACTCCCTCAGCTATCTTTTTATGGTTTGCAGTTTCCATCATTTGTTTATCTTCAGCCCTCCTGTGATTTATGTTTTGTGTAGATGTTTAAAAACCCAATCTAACAATCTCTGTTTTTTATGGGGCATGCTTGACCCATTTACGTTTATTGTGATACTATTGTATATGGCTATCTCGCTACCATACTGTGTTGTATTTTCTATTTATCACCCATCTCTTAACTGCTTGTTTTTAATCCCTTTTCTTCTTTTGACTGAGCTTTTGGAATTTCCTTTTTTCTTCCCTTTCATTTGTTTGGAAGTTACATATCCACTTCATTTCTTTTAGTGGCTATTGCCCTTAAAATTTAACCATCTCCAACAACAAGAGAAAAGAACCAACAGGTCTGTGTTGGAAGATGTGCAGCCAGAGTGCTCCCTGGAGGCCAAGATGGCCAAACTTCATCTCTCATACTTCGGACATATTTTTCAGGAGGGACCAGTCACTGGAGAAGGATATCATGTTTGGTAAGGTAGAGGGTCAGAGAAAAGAGGAAGACCCCCAATGAGATGGATTGGCCAAGTGGCAGCATCGATGGACTCAAACGTGGCAACAGTGGTGAGGTTGGCCCAGGATCAGGCAGTGTTTCATTCTGCTGTGCGTAAGGTCGCTATATGTCGGTACCACCTCGATGGCACCTAACAACAACAAGAATGGGAGTCCTGGTGTGGTGCTGTGGGTTAATGCACCAGACTGCAAAGTCATTTGAACCAGAAGGACTACCGTTCAAGCTCACTAGTCACTCCTCAGAAACCCCTGTATGGAGTTGCTATGGGTCAGAACCGACTTGACAGTACTTAACAATAACGAAAGAGCATTTCAGGCTCTATCTGGAAGTACAACACTGTCTGTGCTAGGGTTAATATCCACACGCCTATAAGGAAGA